ATACCGGGTACCGGTCCGACCGGTTCAACCGGCCGGTCCGGTCCGGTTTTTAAAACATTGCAGCCAATGTAAGAATGCTACACTGACGACGCTGCGCAGCCTAGGTCTTGGCCCAAGTTGAGCAGCGCTCCATCCAAATTGGGAAATTGGATCCAACTCCCATCGATCTAAATGGATTTTTCGCATTACGACCCATTTTACACATCAAAACCACATTTTTAGCAATTCATTAATTAATACCAACGGTCCAAAAGCCCCTCAACTTCCTCCTTGCAGCCACCGAAGTCCGACAGCCAAAACATCCTCTTCTTCAATACTTCCTCTCTTCGAAATCTCATTCTTCTCTCTCTGGCGCTCTGAATTGTGGTAATTTTGATTCGCCATCCTTTTTTTTTTTACCGTTTGACATGAATTTTAAGAAATGATACTGTTGCTTTAGTTGCTCTAAATTCCAGGAATTTATAGATCTCCTACAATGAATTTGGTAACCGGAAACTCTGCAAGAAAGTGGAGATGGGTCAGCAAGAAATATGTATTAGATGCATCCATTAACATTTTCAGGTAAAATATTATCTAATTTTTTGTTCTTGTGATGAATGTATTACTTGGAAGATACGATTCACGATCTAAAGGACATATGTTGAAGTGATATTTCTCAGTTTTTACCCCAGTTATGATTTAATTTCCTTGGTGTCCCTTAACTCAAACTTTGTACATAATATAGCACTACCATGTTACAAGTTTTTAGGGGTAGAAACTTAGTTTTCTTTAGCACTAACTTATTGCTGGGATTATCAGATTCTGAATCTATTATTTTGGAGTAAAGATATGGATGACCCTGGAGCTTTTGGCTTGGCTACTGTTTGGGCAGCTTTGCAGTCCAATACTGTTGAAATCCTCAGCTGCTTCTACACCTGAAAAACCCGAGATTGTTTTCTCGGGAAAAACACTCCGACGCTCAAGTCAGCAATACTCGATATTCTAGAGAGAGATACTCTCAAGGAGTAATTGTAGATAGAGAAGCGTAGAGATTAATTACCTTCATCAGAGGTAGTTGGGGGGTATTTATAGCCCCTTGGTGCTAACATACATTTGCACGCGTGAGTACCCCATTGGCCCACGTGGTGCTGGTCACGTGAGTATGCTTGTACTGATGCTCCTTTAGCTTGGGCTAATAGGTGGTAACCTAGGCCCGTTATGCACAGCCCTATTTGGGTGTTGGGCCTGTTGGGCCTATGCACAGCCCTGTTTGGGGTGTTGGGCCTATGCACAGCCCTGTTTGGGGTGTTGGGCCTATTCCGACATTACTCCCCCCCGGTGTTCGGTTGACGAACTGGGATGGATGTGGCCATGGGTCAACGTTGTTGGGCTTAGCTGGCGACTATGACGGATGGCTTTAACAGCTTGCAGCAGACCTCGACGATGGCCGAGCTGAAAGGTAAAGCGAAAATAGGCGAGCTCGCGAGCCTGAAAGCGTGTAGGCAAGCTGGTATCCATAGCCACATTAGTGTGGGCTTGTTACGGCGGCAAGTTGAAGTAATTCGCAACAGATGAGCTCGCGCAGGGACTAGTCATGTATATAACACCATTTCAGCTCATCCATGTGGCGACCTGACCCTTGACTGCTACCAAAGTGCGGCCAGATGACGCTCAGATAGCTATGATCACGAGGTGAGGCGACGCGACCTCACATGCAGTGCGACTTGAGGTTTTTAACTACCACTTTATCAGCTCGCGTGAGTAGTGCTGTTAAATAGGGCGACCTCAGGTACCCATTGATATATGAAAAGGTCTGTGGCCTGATGTGAGCTGCAACCCGTGTGACGACCTGACAAATGTGGTTGTCGTCACGATATGTGACGAGTTGAATCTTGGGGGATTTTAGTGAACGATCTACACTTGTGAACGAATTGTCACGGTTAAGCCGATCTGGCAAATATGTCATCTTTGTAACGACCTGGTAAGTGTGCTCGCAATGGCAAGCTGATGTGACAGTATAGGGTACACATCAGCAATTACAATCTGAATCTTGGGATTTTTTTTAGTCAAGCAAATCTCTGAGGAGATACGATTGAACTTCCCATATCTCTCTGCCTTCCCCGTCATAAATGCTGGCTCAACATTTGAGGGACGTGACAGTTAAAGCTGGCGCACGCTATGCAAAAGGGGCGTTAAGCGCATGCCACGTGTGGGACGCTAGTTGGCGCGTCAGAAACACGCGTACGGCAATTAACACTGCCATATTCTTCTCTGCGTAACCGTTTCCTTTTCCATTTTCATTTCCGTGTTTGCTTGAACTTTCTGAAATTCTCTAAAGCAAGACGCTCCAGCTTGAAGAACAGTACGCCGAATCAACTTCGCATCATTTTCAGGTAAAATGGTTTCGTTGAGAGAACTTACAGAGCTACGAGGTAACCAGGGCAGAGAGGGGGGAGAAGAACGGGTTATATTTGTAGAGCCTATCACGATGATAGTGCCGCTGGCGTTGTAGGATGTGCCGGAAACAATGGCGTCTGAGAGCAGCACCAGTTCCAGCGCTAGCGACAACGGTGGCAACCACCCTAGTGCGCCGTCGAGCAGCTCGTCCTCCAAGGGGACACCAGGTCGCGAGGAGGGGGTAGGGAATGTAGTGAGCCATGTCTCAGATCGGCCTGTAATGGGAGAATGGGAAAGCAAAACCATCACGGGCAGGTTGAGCAATTTGCGAAAGGCGCCCAAGGACCTGCCCACTGGATTTAGGTTCCGGCCCGCCCTACATCATGAAGTAGCGGATTGTGCGCCCTCAATAAGTGGGTATAGGAGATTGGAGGAGATGGTGAGAGCGCACCACATCCCCAGAACGATCTTGCTTCGAACTGGAGCCAAAAGCGAGAAGGCGTGCACGGTATCACAGACAGGTTGGATACCCGTGTACGTGGATCACTTTGAGGCCGGCCTGCGATTCCCCCTACCCGGCTTGGTATTCGACATGCTGGCAAACTACGAGCTCGCTCTGACGCAGCTGACGCCCAACAACATAAGGTTCATAATAGGCTTTATGCTGTTGTGTGCGAGGTTGGAGGTACCGGCCAAGGCGATCGTGTTCAAGTTGCTGTTTCAATGCCGGCTGTGTCCCAACTCCCGAGGCGTGAAGTGGTACTACCTTTCTGGGAGAGACAAGAGCCAGTTGTTCAAGAATGTCCGGAACAAAGTGGCGAGGTGGAAGAGGCAATTCATATTTGTTCGCGACACGCGAACAGAGAGGATAAGCAACGACCTCGCTGCTCTGTTGTCTAAGTGGCGTGTGCCCAATGCACACGTCAACTACCCTCAGTTACTGCTACGGGACACAGACCTCAAAAATTAGGTGTTGGACTATGCGAGAAGGGAGAATCTGATAGATCTGGACGCCCTGGTTACCTCGGAGCATCTTGCCGTGTTCGGGTTTGTCGACGTGGCAAACCTGTTCATAGAAGGTATACTTTCATTAGATAGTACTAATTCTAGCCGGGCTGAGTCTTATGCGTTTTTTTGTGTAGGAGAAATGAGTAGCATCTTGGAACGCCAACGACAGCGAGCCCAAGGCTCACGAGGTTGCGCGTCGGGCAGCGCACAACCCAGGCAAACACGGTTTGACGAGCGGCCACCCCCAGTGCCTCAATCATGCTGCTCGTCACACCGGGGATCTAGCTCGGCGTCAAGGCCACGAGCAGAGCACAGAGCTGAGGTTGCAGCTTCGAGTGCACGTAGACGTGCACGCGAGGAGACAGAGAGCGAGGAAGATGAGGTCCCACTTGCTCGGCGCAGAATAAGTGGGGGGACTCAGCCCGCGCAGGCGGCCCGTCCTGCAACCGTACATTCACCGAACGCACCGTCAGTGACTACGCGGGCAATAGTAGAGCCCGCCTCTGCATCGGCTTCGATGTCGGGCCCCAAGATTGCTTATCCTTAAGATTTCAGCTATGTGCGGGCGGAGTGCCAGCACGCCATGGTGCAAGGCATGCACAGCTTTGTGCCCCCCGTGGATAGTAAGCGAGCAAAAGCTTTTGTGCAGCAGCATGGCGGGCAGGTCGCCATGATCAAACTAATGGATGTAAGTATTTGCTTGTACACACGTGTTTTACTTTTCCTTACTAGGTACTTACGAGTGTTGCTATTTGGCAAGCATTCAGCTACGCTGTAGCGCTGTACGAGAGCGAGCAGGGGGCTTGTATAGAGAACAACAAGCTCGGTTCAAAGTGCAAACAGCTAGCTGTAGAGAAGGCTAGCCTTGTAGACGATGTGAATCGCCTACAAGGCTCCGAAATGGCGAACTGAACTGCGGCTGCAGAGAGCCAGGCGGATGGGCTCACCAACAGAAATAACGAGCTCAGGGAGGAGCTGGAGCGCGCCCGTGTTGAACGGGAGAGCGGGATCCAGGCAGCCAAGGAGGAAGCCGCCCGGGTTGAGGAACGGGCTAAGAAGGCTGAGGCCGACAGGGACCGCACTCAGCACGAGCTGGACACCCTTAGGCACTAGGTCGCCGAGGCCGACCGGAACCTCACTGCTGCCGGGGAGGCACTAAACGAGTTGAAGGCTTCCCATGCACGCTCTGTCAGCATCGCTCGAGCTCAGGGGGCGGAATGGTTCTTGGGTTCAGCTACGTTTCAGGACGCCGTGGCGGTGGCGTCTGCAAATGTAACCACGGAGATCTACAACGAGATTCGTGGGAAGGTGCTACAACACCGCCCGGACTTCCCGATCGGCGAGTTGACGTTCTTCGACGGGGAGGACTTGGACGAGCAGGGGAAGAGTCTTGCTCCCCTTGTGGACGCAACGGTGCGGTTGAGGTGGGACCTCAACGAGGAGGGAGTGCCTGTTTGGCCTCCTTAGGTCCTTGAGGACGGGGAGAACCCAGCAGGGCTGCCCTCCTTTGACGCGTGGGTAAAGGGTGCTCCTGTAGCTGAGCAGGAGCCTTCAAGCACCCCGCCCAACTCTCAGCCCGCTGTGGTGCCAGCCAGCTCGCCCGTCAACGCACCAGCCTTTGAGCCCGCAACCCAGTCTCCTTCAGCTTGCTCTCCTGTAGCTGTTGCTGATGCATCTATGCCCGTCGATCTGACGGATGACTAGACTTAGGGTTTTTTCTTTTGATCTTTTGTATTTCGCTTTTGCATTTTTGTATCTGATCAATGGATTCATTTCATATGCACCTTTAATGTAAACATCTTTGATGAAATACAAAAATGAGTTTTTCTTTGAATTTTTGTTGTATTTTCGGTATACCATTGTTTACAACTGTCGAATAACAACTTGAATAAAAGAATAGTATATAGGTTAACTGTAAAATTTCCTAAGATTCTGTATGTTCCAAATGTAAGGCAACTGACGTCTCTGTATATCTGCTAACACATAAGAGCCAGGTCGTTTAACTTGTACAACCATATAGGGGCCTTCCCAATTAGGAGCGAGCTTGCCCATGTGTGAATAAGTGTTAGTTAACCCAGCTTTACGTAGGACCAGATCGCCGACTTGAAACTGGCGAGCTCGAACTCTTTTATTGTAAAATTTTGCAACACGACTCTGATGTGCCATGTTTCTTATTCGGGACATCTCCTTGATTTCTTCCACAAGGTCTAGGTTCTCTCTTAAGAGTTGTTCATTGTTCTGATCGTCATGACGATCTGATCTACCGGATGGCAATCCGACCTCGACGGGGATGACGGCCTCAGCTCCGTATGCCAGGCTGAACGGGGTTTCGCCTGTGGCCGAGCTGGCTGTAGTACGACATGACCACAACACTTTATTGAGCTCGTCAACCCAATTAGTATGTGCAACCAAAACACGCGTCTTGAGTCCCCGCAAGACGATTTTATTGGCAGACTCGGCTTGCCCATTGGATTGTGAAGTGTACACAGATGTTAAGGTGAGCTCAATGCCATAGTCGTTACAAAACGATCTCAGTGCTGCTACTCGGAACTGTGGCCCATTATCACAATAATCCGCTTAGGTATGCCGAACCTGCACATAAATAACCGAGTTGAGCTAGAAACCACATTTGCATACATTTTATTTATGACCTAAGTCACCAAAGAATACCTGCACAATATGGAATTGAATAAGAATTTTTCTATTTTCCTTTCTGTTGTCGTGGATAATGGTTTAGCTTCTATCCACTTAGTGAAGTAATCCACTGCAACGACCAGGAAAGTGCAGCCTCCTTTGCTTTTGATGAAAGGGCCGAGCAAGTCAACACCCCATTGAGTAAAGGGCCAGGGAGACGTAAGAGATGATAGCATTTCCCCTGTTTGAAGGAAGGTACTTATGCTCAGTTCATAGACAGTCACTAAGTTAGCACAAACTATAGAACGAGCTTGGATACCTGGCATGTGACTATCATTAGCATTGAACTGGCAGGTCGGGCACTTTTTGACATAGTTCTGTGCGTCCTCGACCATAGTGGGCCAGTAATAACCGTGCCTCAGGAGTTTTCGAGCTAAAGTTCTGCTGCTGATGTGCGTGCCACATACTCCTTCATGAACTTCTCTTACGGCGTATTGAGCTTTATAAGGAGTAAGGCAACGTAATAGCGGCATTGAAGTTGCTCGCTTGTAAAGCTAGCTATTTAACAAAGTGAAATTTGCTGCCCTAAATTTAATCAATTTTGCAGCGGACTGGTCTTCAGGTAACTCGCCGCTTTGTAGATAATTTATGAGCGGGGTGGTCCAGCTCGGTGTAGAGGGATCTGTGCTTAACAGTTGACACTTGACTGTGAAATCAGTGTAGCTCGGTGCGTCGAGTACCTCGACTATTATTGATCTCTGAGGGTTAATGTCCTGCGAGGAGGCCAACTTTGACAGCTCGTCAGCTCGGTGGTTATCTGCTCTTGGTATTTTATCGATTTGGAAAAGGGCAAATATCGACTTCAATCTTTTGACCACAGAGGCATAACGACTGAGCTGGGGATCCCTGATGTCGCAACTACCATTCACCTGGCCCACAACGAGCTGAGAGTCGCTGAAGACCTGAATGCTTTGTACCTTCAGCTCGGACGCCAGCTTCAATCCGTAAATGAGGGCTTCATACTCTGCAGCATTATTGGTTGTTTGGAAATTAAACCTCAGCGCATGCTCGGATTTAAAACCATTAGGGCCCAGTAACACAACTCCAGCATCCGATCCTTCGACATTAGCAGCTCCATCTACATACAAAATCCAAATTGGGTGTTCAGGTGCCTTTTCTTTAACAGCCGCCGGGGCACGTTCAACCAAGAAGTCTGCCACAGCTTGGCCTTTTATAGTCGTGCGCGGCTGAAATTTGAGGTCATACTCACTCAGCTCGACACTCCATCCGATGAGCGACAAGAGGGTTCTTGCTTCTGCAATATTTTCCTTAGCGGGAAATCAGTATAAACAACAATATGATGAGATTGAAAATAAGCTCTCAACTTACGAGCTGTGCAGACCAAAGCAAAAACAGCCTTTTTTGCTAGCGGGTAGTTCTGCTCGGCACCTTGTAACACCTTGCTCACGTAGCAGATAGGCTTTTGATTCTTGTTCTCTTCCCTCAGTAGCACTGAACTCACTGCTTCTTTTGTGACCCCCAGATAAAGATATAAACATTCCCCATCGACAGGCTTGGACAGTAGGGGTGCAGATGCCAAATATTGTTTGAGCTCGTCAAATGCCTGTTGACATTCCTCAGTCCACTGGAAGTTTTTAGGCTCTCGCAGGGCTTTGAAGAACGGAAGGCACCTTTCTACCGATCTAGCTATAAACCTGTGCAACGCAGCTACCCGACCTGTCAGACGCTGTACATCTTTTACTGTCTTAGGGGGTTCCATCTGCTGAACGGCCTGTACCTTCTCTGGATTTACCTCGATTCCTTTCTTGGATACCACGTACCCTAAGAATTTCCCTGATTCCACAGTAAACGTGCATTTCAAGGGATTCAGCTTCATTTGGGCTCGGCGTAAGTTTTGAAATGTTTCATCCAGGTCGTCAATATGATTCTCAGCTCGCACGCTGGTGACTATCATGTCATCTACATACACTTCTATGTTTCTGCTGATCTGGAGCTTAAAGATGATTTGCACCAGCTTTTGGTATGTTGCTCCAGCATTTTTGAGGCCGAACGGCATCATGACATAGCAGCAGATTGCGTCACCAGCGTAAAAAGCTGTTTTTTCCTGGTCGTCTAGCAACAGCTGGACCTGGTGGTAACCCAAGCTGGCGTCAAGAAAACTCATCCGTTCGTGTCTTGCTGCTCGTTCTACTAACTTCTTGACGTTTGGCAAGGGATGAGGGTCTTTTGGACATGCATCATTGAGGTTGGTGAAATCAATACACATCCTCCACTTGCCATTTGGCTTTTTGACGAGCATAGGGTTGGACACCCATTCAGAGTACTCAACTCTTCTGATGAAGCCTGCCTGTAACAACTTTTGTATCTCTTCTTCAATGGCAGCTTGCTTCTCGAGGCCAAAAAGGCGACGTTTTTGAACCACTGGCCTTTTGGTGGGGTCCATGCTGAGCTTGTGAACTGTCAACTCCACCGAAATGCCGGGCATTTCGTTCGTAGTCCACGCAAACACGTCCTGATTATTCTTCAGAAATTCCAAAAGTTCCGCCCGCTCTTCCCCTGTGAGCTTAGTGCCAATCTTCACCACTCTCTCTGGCACATCCGGATTTAAAGACACCGTCTCCACTGGCTCTACTGGCTCTACCTTCTGCTCAACGCCCTTAGGTCGATGCTCAATGTCTGATATGCTCATTATCTGTTGACCGAGCTGGGTTGGCTTGCAACCCCCAGCACTTGTCAGGGCTGCGGCGGGCTCGACCTTCTTGAACGTGTCTTGATAACAGGCTCTAGCCATCTTCTGATTCCCCTTCAACACTCCTACCCTCTGAGGAGTTGGGAATTTCATACAGAGATGGGGCTGTGAGATAACAGCCTTCAGCTCGCATAGGGTGGCTCTTCCTAATATAGCATTAAAAGCTGCTTCCATCTTAACGACTAGGAAGGTGACGAAAGCCATTCTGAAGCGCGGTTCTGAGCCCACATATATAGGAAGAGTAATAACTCCCTCGACCTGGATGGGCTGGTTATCAAACCCGTATATGGGCCCTTCATATTTCTGCAGTTAGCCCGGATTCAGCTGCATCTTTTGAAAACAGCTCCAGTATAAAATATCTGGCGAGCTGCCAGTATCAATAAACACCTTATTGACATTATGATTGCCTATATGAACCGTTGCCACAAAGGGATCTACATGGGGCATCATAATGTCAGGCTCTCCTTCTGCTCGCTTGTAATCTGCCGGGCTGAATGTGATAGGCGTATTTTCCCATTCTGCTTCCTCAAATGGCCGCTTCAGGGGTCTGTTTTTGTTGACAGTCATCACCTGTCGGACATATGCCTTGCGAGCTCGGGCGCTTTGGCCCCCAGAGTGAACACCACCTGATATCATGTTTATTGTACCCGAAGGCGGGGGTATCCCAGCATAGCCTACCCCTTTCTTATCTTTTTGGTTCTAGACAGCAGCCCTCTGCCCCTGTCTCTCTTGTTGAACGGACGCCCTCTGTACGCCCTGCCCTGCTCCGAAGGATATGGATTGTCCTGATATATATCCTGTGTCCCGCTGAGCTGGTACCTCTGCCCCTGAGGTCGGTCATACCCCTGTACAAAATGAGTTTGAGTGGGTTGCTGGGCGTGGGGCTTCTGAACATATCCTTCTAGTTTCCCATTGCGAGCTAGGAATTCCAGCTCGTCCTTCAGATGTTGGTAGTCTTCTGTGTTGTGACCATAAATACGATGATAGTCACAATGCTTGCTCTTGTTCGCCCTTGGGGACTCATACAGTGGGGGTGGGGGTCTTCTAACCCAGTTTTGTATTTGCGCAAGGATTTGGGACCTGGGCAAGGTTAAAGGAATGTAGTTAGCATACTTGGGGAAGTCAGCGGGCTTCCTCCACTGCTCGCTGACTTTCTGTTTCTTCTTCTCTTCCCTTCTTGGTGGCTGTTCCTGGCTTTTGCTCTGCTTATCGTCAGCTCGTCGCTTGGACGACTGGAAGTCTTCTGATAATATGAAGCTAGCCGACCTGTCATTCACTTTGTTCCAAGTCCTCGGTGGGTTTTCTAGGAGGTCATCCAGGAACCGGCCACGCTTCAAACCATGTAGCAAGGCGAACAGGCAAATGGTGTCTGGGACGTTATCAATGTCCAAAGTGGCCTTGTTGAATCGCTGCATGTAGTCCCTCAGAGATTCCCCTTCCTTTTGATTAACTTGCATTAGCTTGGTTGCTGTACGTTTGATCTCTCTCTGGCTCGCGAATTTGTTGGAGAATAGCTTGGCGAGCTGGGAGTATGAGTCTATAGAATGTCTGGGGAGCTTGTGATACCATCCCCTGGCTGTTGATTTCAATGTCGCTGGGAACACTTTGCACATAATGGCATCATTGGCATTTTGGATTCTCATGATGGCTTGATAGGTGTGCAGATGTTCATCTGGGTCACCCGAGCCATCATATGTCTCTAGATGGGGAATCTTGAATCCCTCTTAATATGGTTCTGCTGTGATGGATAAGTTCAATGGAGCACTATCCAAATCAAGGGTTTGTTGGTGCGACCTGGGACTTTTCAGCTCGTCAATGGACTTCTGTACGTCCCGCAGCTGCCTTTCAAGGTCTGCGTTTTTTCTCATCAATTCTTCACTATGCTTGGACGAGCTGGGTTCGTTATTCAACTTCCCACTTCCCCTTGGCCTGGTCGGCACCACCACGTTGCTTAGAGCAGGGGAGTTTCGAGTTGCCACAACCGCAACTGGTTGTGCATCCTTGTTCAACAAAGGAATCAGGGGGTCGTCCGGAATCAGGCGGGCAAGGATTTTACCCATTGCCATTTCCAGAATTCTGGTTCTCTCTTTGAGCTCGGCTGTCCGAGCAGGTTCTATTGACCTTTCAGGTCGCTCACGCTATGAATTGTATGGTCGAGAAGGTCTTGATCTTGTTCCTATTGGAACTTGGAACTGTTCAGGCTGGGTTGCATACCCCGTTGGTGTTCTTTCATCATCATCCGTTTCGCTTAGGTGATCCTGCTCTGCTCCCCTGACGAAAAGGTTTATTGGCATTGGCCTAAAGTCATTCACGCTGGGCTCAGATACTTAGGCATCCTCCTGTTCATCCATCCCATTTCTTGGAGGGCGATCTCCTGTAAAAGTATGGACCATTTTGTCTTTCAGTAAGTTAAGTCACACAACTTCTTGTTCGAATTTCCCACAGACGACGCCAAATGTTTGGGTAGTTTTGCAGTCCAATACTGTTGAAATCCTCAGCTGCTTCTACACCTAAAAAACCCGAGCTTGTTTCCTCGGGGAAAACACTCCGACGCTCAAGTCAACAATACTCGATATTCTAAAGAGAGATACTCTCAAGGAGTAATTGCAGAGAGAGAAGCATAGAGATTAATTACCTTCATCGGAGGTAGTTAGGGGGTATTTATAGCCCCTTGGTGCTGACATACATTTGCACGCGTGAGTACCCCATTGGCCCACATGGCCCTGGTCACGTGGGTATGCTTGTACTGATGCTCCTTCAGCTTGGGCTAATAGGTGGTAACCTAGGCCCATTATGCACAGCCCTATTTGGGTGTTGGGCCTGTTGGGCCTATGCACAGCCCTGTTTGGGGTGTTGGGCCTATTCCAACAGCTACTTCAATCAATTTTTTGCTCTTTTTTGTTTGCTTCTATTATGTACATGGAGGTGAGTTTATGTGCTCGAATTGCAATTCAGAACAAACAGTTCTAGAGAGGGCAATTAATGACATTTGGAACACAGCCTAGATGAGGTTTGTTCTTTTATATATGTACATGGTTTGCTTGTTGCATTTCTTTGTGCATGCTTGCTGCGACGTTCTCATCCCTCTTTTTCAAGTTAGTTTTGATTTTACGCATTTCATTTGGTGACTTTCTGTCCATGCTAATTGATATGTCCTAAAACACAATGGTCATCTTCAACAGGATCTGATTTAGTATTAAGCTAAAATTCATTGTCTCATTGTTATCGTCCAGATCTTTTAAATGATTTTGAGTTTTGCTTTACTTAACAAAATTAGCTTGAATTGGTTGATTGAAACTTGTTTGTTACCGGTAGATTTTTAGTTTAAATGAGTTTATTTGTATTGGACTGTGCATTTTAAATGGCTATTTTTGGCTGGTCCAAAAGGAATTGTGTTTCAATTGAAAATTTGACTGCATTTTAATTGTTTATTTGTAAGTTATATCATGTGCCTGAGCTTTTATGGCTTAAGTTCACTGGTTATAAAGAATCATGGACTGATTTTAACTTAAATTCTAGGACTTAGTTTACTTAATAGAACTTTGTGCTAACACAAATTCTTGTTTCTACAAGGGTTTCCATATTTAAGCCCCAAGTTCAAATAACAAGTGAAGAGGAGTACGGTATTGTATAGCTAATACTGAAACGTAAAAGAGAGGATTAGTTTAATAACTAAGTGATTTGCATAGCTATTTTTATTGAAAAATATATCGCCCTTAAGGAAACCAAAACAAACCATCCAACACAAGTGTGGATGAATGCTAACACAACACAAGACATAAACCATCCATTCAGAGTTTCAGACCACAACATAACAGAGCATATATATTCCTCACCTAGAGCTACTGTTGTGATGGGAGACTTTAACGACATAGCTATTGTTGATGAAGCCTCACCTAGAGCAATGCATAGATTCACTAGTGCTCGTCGCTTTCGGAAACACTTGGAAGCTTGTAATCTATACTCCAAGGACTCGCTAGGGTGTGACTTCACATGGATACGCAAGACAAATGGTCGAGTTATACTGCGGGAAAGGCTTGACCAAGCACTTTTCAATCTTATTGGCCTTGAGGAATTCCCAGATGCAAAACTTATCAATTTATTGAGATTGTGCAGTCATCATCATCCAATCATGTTAAACATTGACCCCCCAATTGGATTTCACGGGCAACAAAACCACCTAGATTTGAAGTCGCTTGGTTGACCCATGAGGGTTTTAAGGAGGTGTTCATCGTGCATGGACGGCTCATGACCACTAACTTCCTTCGGCTATTAGTGTTGTTCAAACAACTTGCTTCCGTTAAAACAAACAATGTTTGGGGATTTATTCCAATGCAAATGTCTCTTAAGAGCATGGCTTAAGGGAATACAGAACTCCCCTCATTACAATCACTCCCTTTACCTTCAGAATTTGGAAACAGAGTTGTTGGAGGAATATCACAAAGTATTGCATATAGAGGAACTATTTTGGTGTCAGAAATCATGGGTTGAATGGATTAATTTTGGTGATAGGAATACAAGATTCTACCATGCATCTAAGGTGATAAGAAGAGCACAAAATCGAATCATGACCTTGAAAGCAAATGATTCTTAGGTGACAGATCCAATCGCCTTGAAAAATCAAGTCCAAGATTTTTTTGTGGATTTATTTTCCCAAAAAGAGACTAGAGCTACAGACAACGATTACTCCTGCTTTCAGTCAAAAATGTTAGATGCAGATAGTGCTTCCTTGTTGCTTCCTATTTCCATGGAAGAAGTGAACTCGGCTCTCTTTTCCATGAAAGGTCTAAAAAGTCCTGGTCCTAATGGTATTCAATTGATCTTCTATCAGAAATATTGGGATATTATTTCGAGTACACTTCAGTCCTTTATCAATAGGTCTTTTTCTGATGGTTTCTTTGAGCTCATTATGTTACAAGCTCATACTATTCTTATTCCTAAAGGGGAAAGCCCGGATGTGATACAAAAGTTCTAGCCTATTTGCTTACTTAATGTAGCCTACAAAATCCTCTCCAAAGTAATTGTTAACAGATTGCGTCCTCACTTAGAACCTAATTGGCCCTTTACAGAGCAGTTTTCTTGCTGGTAGAAGTACAACAGATAACATCATTCTCGTTCAAGAGGTTATCCATTCTATGAGGCACCTAAAAAGGAAGAAAGGGGCCCTAGCGTTCAAGATAGACCTCTATAAAGCCTTTGACAGTGTAGATTGGAACTTCCTTAGAGAAGTATTGATTGATTTCAACCTGTCATACCTCGTTAGTTCAGTTGATCATGTTCTCGATTAATTCACTGTAGCTTTATGTTATTTGGACTGGAAAGGAATTACCTTACTTTCAGCCAAAGAGAGGACTACGTCAAGGTGATCCTTTATCGTCGTATCCCTTCATATGGTCATGGACAAACTCTCCCATATGATTATGAGTCGATTGCAGGAACACAAATGGACTCTTTTTCGACTGTCATGTGGGGGACTAGCACTCTCACATTTGTTTTTTGCAGACGATCTCATGTTGTTTGGTGAAGCTTCAACCACCCAAATCGAAACTATGATGGACTGTCTCTCAATTTGCAAGACAATCAAGATTGGAGATAAACTTAGGCAAGTGTAAGTTATTTGTTTCTCCAAATATCCAGGGACAATTGGCAAACTCCTTCAGTTTTGCTTGTGGCATCCTTCTAACACATGATCTCGGCATTTACCTTGGGGTGCCCATCATCCACGGCAAGTTCAAGGCCAGTAGCTATAAATATATTCTTGAAAAGATGTTGATTAAGCTTGCAAGGTGGAACAAAATGTCCTAAGTTTGGTGGGTATGAGAACATTAGTGCAATCAGTAACCTCCTCAATACCAACCTATACCATGCAAATAGTACTCCTTCCTAGCAGCACATGTTCAGCCATCGATTCCTTGAATCGCAAATTCCTTTAGGGTTCAGATTTACAAGCTAACAAACCACACCTTGTCCATTGGAATGATGTCTATTTATCGAGGAGATATGGTGGATTGGGTGTGAGATCTGCCAAAGAGTATAACAAGGCTTTGATTGCCAAGTTAGGTTGGCAAATACTTTCAAGGAGTGAGAAGCCATGGTGTCAGGCTATCAAGCATAAATACCTTCATTCAAAGAGTTTCTCTAGTTGCAAGCCCGCGCCTTCTTCATCTATAATGTGGCGAAGCATCTTAAAAACTAGAGATGTTCTACAATTGGGAACATGGTGGAGAGTGGGATTTGGATTTAACATACAACTTCGAAATGACATCTGGGTAGGTAACTCAAAACTTTTGGAATCAATAATAGCCCCGGTTCCACAACACCTACTTGGTACGAAGGTCTCTGATATCATTAGTAATTTAGAATGGAATTTGTTATAATTAACTGATTTTCTTCCAGAAAACGTACTCCAACTTATAGCAACCATTCCGTTATCAATAACTGGCCACTTGAATGATCAAATTTATTGGAATGTTGCTTCATGTGGAGACTTCACAGTTAAGTCAGCTTTTAATCTTATTCAACAGACTAGAATTTCTAGTGCTCCTAGACCTGAAGACTGGACCTGGATTTGGCACTTAGGCTGCACAGAAAGGGTGAAGCTCTTCGTTTGGCTACTCTGGAGAGGAAAAGTTCTCACAAACTTAGTTTGCTTTGAGCGCCGCATGGCTCCTATGCCGGTGTGCCCTCACTGTGAACAATCACCTGAAACCCCATTGCACCTCTTAAGAGACTACTTCTATTCGCGGCTAGTTTGGGAGTCGGTGAGTCTTCTACCTACTGACTTCTTTTATCTAAACTTCGATTCTTAGTTGAAAAGGAATGCTATTATACGAAGGCGGAGGACCAATTCTCCGAACTTATGGCCATTCGTCTTTCTCACAACCATCTAGCACTTGTGGAAGAGTAGGAACATATTGGTGTTTGAAGGGCAACGGATTCCGCCACATCTTATTGCTCGCCTGGCTCACACCTTTGCTTTGGAAACAAGATTTGCCTTGGAATCAGTTAATATGATTCATGACACTAGAGCCCCTAGATGGGTCTCTTAGACCCCACCACTACATCCTTATCTCAAACTAAACACTAATGGATCTTACAATCGTCACTCAAGCAAAGCAGCGGCTGGAGGATTCATTCGTGATCACAACAAGCGCTGGGTTCATGGTGTTGATGACCACTTAAGATTTTTTTTCAATGAATGAAAAATTAAGTGTGGAAATATAAGAGAAAAGGGAGTCGTCACTCGTCCAAATTATAAGGTGGGACAAGTCACCTAAAATAAGTCTGCGTAGAGATCGAGGTTCGAGGGTTCGATTAGGAGTGAGGAAGGGCATACGCGCACCTCATAATCCTCCGTTTAAACACGGTTGCATACTTTAACATTGGGGGTTTTGATTCACTTGATTCATCATGTTTATGTTTGAGTCTAAATAAGCAAACTTGAAAAAAAGAGATAAACCGAATCGAAACATTTTTTAACATGTTTGGACTGAAATAAACAAAATCAAGAACATGCATGCACAATAGCACAAGTAAAAATTAAAAGGGTCTAGTTTGATTAAATTCGAAAACATGAAAGACTGATTTAAAAAAATTTGAAACTTTGGGACTGAATTGCTTAATCATAAAACTTGTGGATGAAATTGAGATAAAATGAAAGATAACTTTGACTTTGACCAAGATTAAAGTTAATTAAAAATTAAAATTAATTAATCAAAATAATTAACCTAATTAAATAATTAACTCACTATTAATTAAAATTAATTAAAATTAATTAATCATATTTATTGATCATTAATTGAAATAACTAAATAAATCTAATTATCTCAAATCATTTCAAATCAAACTCAATAAATATGATTAATTTATTTTAATTAAAATTAATTAATTTCGTTAATCATAAATTAAACTAATTTTTTAATTAATTAATAATTTTATATTATTAATTATTATTATTTTTTTTTTTACTTTTTAACCTTTTTTAGTTTTTTTTTAACTGAATCGGGTTAGATCGAACTCGCTCCAAACACAACCGAAAAACACAATCCTTCAAACAGATAAACACAAAACAGATCAAATCTTGAACAAAAACCCAAATCCAAAGGACATGAAGAGAAATCTTTGATTCCCATTCATTTTCCAACAAACTAAATACAAGCTTAAACACAGATCTAAACAAAATCAACAGAAAATCACAGAAACACCCACGGCGGAATTTTTAGGAGGAGGTAGGTCCAGATCAGAAAGGAGGGATCCCACCCACGGGATCAAGCTCCGTTCGTCTCCTTCACTCCCTTTTTCCTAAAATCCCTCTATTTCAGAAAATACCGAACCCAAGACAGAGTAGCAGAGATGGAAGAAAACTGAGAAGGCCGGCCGGCTAGCTGCTGTGCGATAGAGAGGATGGTGAGCGACTACTGTGAGGCGCAGAAAAGACCACAGATCCGTGGCTATTGATTTCGGCTCTCTCCAAAAAAACCAGAAAGATGGAACCCAAGAACAAATCTGAATTCAACCCCTTTTATCCGATGGCTCCTCTTCAAAACCAAATCTCAAACATTCCTCACTTTCTAGTTGCTATGCCTTGCTCTTCTCCTCAAAAACCAGATCTGCAGAATGCCCGGAGAAAGAAAGCCGAAGTACAGCGGAAGGAAAGAGGGAA